ACAGACAGACAGACAGACAGACAGACAGATAGATAGATGATAGACAGACAGACTGACAGACAGACAAGTAGATAGGTAGTTTAACAAGAGCAAACCCCACCTTCCTTCTAGCCTTGATGATGTTACCTAGTTGGGTGATGTAAAGTCCACAAGAAAACAAGCCAACTCAAGAGACCTCTCTGGACCCTACAGTCGCAACATTTAAAAATGAGATTGTGGGACGCAAGTCAGGTTAGTCTTTGACAATCCAAAATGTGGAGTTTGGTCTTGAGAAGGAGAGGCATCGTCGTCCCGTTGCTGAACACATGGCTGCTCTTTCCCCCTCCAGACTTCTGGACGCCTTCGACGCAGTGCCCGGCCACCTGACCGAAGACCTTCACCTTTATTCCTTAAACGACCTAAGCGCCATCAAGAAGGGGGAGCTTGTCCCCCGCTTGACCGAGCTCCTCCGGGTGGGAGAGCTGCACGTTGAGAAATGCATGGTGAGTGCGTGGAGCCCATTTCTTTTCTTCCTTCTAATCCCACTCTATAAAGCCTTAATAAGGCCACACCTGGAATCCTGAATCCAGTTTTGATCACCACACAATAAAACAGAAGTTGGGACTCTGGAAAGAGTGCAGAGAAGATGAGTCTAAAACATACAATGAACGGTTGCAGGAACTGGGAATGGCTAGCCTAGGGAAGAGAAGGGCCAGGGGAGACAGGATAGCAGCCTTCCAATATTTGAGAGGCTGCCCCAGAGAGGAGGGGGTCAAGCTATTCTCCAAAGCACAAGAGAGAGAGGGGGGGGGAGAGGGAGAGGGAGAGGGAGGGAAAGAAAGAAAGAAAAACGAAGGAAGGAAGGAAGGAAGGAAAGGAGGACAGAAGGAAGGAAGGAAGAAAAAATAATGAAAAAAGAAAAAAGAGAGACATGGCTGGTCCAGTGAAGAGAAGGAACAGGGGAGACAGGAGAGCATCTTCCAATATTTGAGGGGCTTCCCCAGAGAAGAGGGGATCAAGCTGTTCTCCAAAGCACAAGAAAGAAAGAAAGAAAGAAAGAAAGAAAGAAAGAAAGAAAGAAAGAAAGAAAGAAAGAGGAAGGGTGGGATGGGTGGAAGGAAGGAAGGAAAGGAGGACGGAAGGAAGGAAGGAAGGAAGGAAGGAAAAAATAGTGAAAAAAGAAAAAAGAGAGACATGGCTAGCCTAGGGAAGAGAAGGACCAGGAGAGACAGGAGAGCATCTTCCAATATTTGAGGGGCTGCCCCAGAGAGGAGGGGGTCAAGCTGTTCTCCAAAGCGCAAGAAAGAGAGAGAGAGAGAGAGAAAGAAAGAAAGAAAGAAAGAAAGAGGAAGGGAGGGAAGGAAGGAAGGAAAGGAGGACAGAAGGAAGGAAGGAAAAAATAATGAAAAAAGAAAAAAGAGAGACATAGCTAGCCTAGGGAAGAGAAGGACCAGGGGAGACAGGAGAGCATCTTCCAATATTTGAGGGGCTGCCCCAGAGAGGGGGGGGGGGCAAGCTGTTTTCCAAAGCACAAGAAAGAAAAGAAAGAGAGAGAGAGAGAGAAAGAAAGAAAAGAAAGAAAGAAAGAAAGAAAGAAAGAAAGAAAGAAAGAAAGAAAGAAAGAAAGAAAGAAAGTGGAAGGCCGGGAGGGAGGGACGGAAGGAAGAAAAGGAAAACGGAAGGAAGGAAGGAAGAAATAATGAAAAAAGAAAGAGAGGCATGGCTGGTCTAGTGAAGAGAAGGACCAGTATAGGGTTTCCCGCCTAGGCAGGGGGTTGGACTGGTAGACCTCCAAGGTCCCTTCCAACTCTGCTATTGTATTATATTAAATAAGCGCACACACACACACACACACACACACTCTCCATGTAAATATATACAAAACTTCTATGGTGGTACGGCAATGGTCTCATGACTGGGGTTCAACTCTCCAGGCAATCGCTTCCGGCATTGCTTCGTGCAGATCTTCACTTTAATTTAATTTTAATTTTGATTCCCGCGACCATGCGGATGCTGCAAAGGCCGTAACTCTTAAAAAATGGTCCTTACGTCGCTTTTCCCGGTGCCGTTGTAACTTTGAGCGGTCTCTGAAGTGCAAGTCGGAAGACTAGCTTGTAAAACGCCAGTCCTGGAGTCTCCCTCTCGAGGGGGGGGCTGAGTGAAACCCAAATGGTGGGATTGTTGCGCTAGTGTCAACTGTTCAATTAGTGAACCCAAATTCCAAAAAGTAAAACTTGATTGGACACACCCGATTGGTACCGAAGAAATAAAACCAGCTCTGGTTTCTCCCTCCGCCCTCCCCCGCGATTGCTCACCTAGCCGAGGTGGCACAGTGGTTAAATGCAGCACTGCAGGCTACTTCAGCTGACTGCTAGTTCTGCAGTTCGGCTGTTCAAATCTCACCGGCTCAGG